GCGGGGGGGGGGGCCTGGGCCGCGGGGGGGGCGGGCCCCCGCCGTGCTGATGGCAACACCAAGCGGCGGCAGCGCTGCCCGCCTGGGAAAGCGCTGCAGGACCCGGTCACGACGTGGTTTTTTGTTTGCTTTTTGTTTTTTTTAAAATAATAAAGTGTTATTTGTGGTGGCCTCACCCCGGCAGGCAGGCAAGCACCGCAAACAGCCCCCCTCGCTCGTCCCCCTCCACCCCAAGTGGGACAGGAAAGGAAGAGTAAAAGCCAGAAAACTCGGGCGTCCCCATTCACGTAACAAGAAAAAAATCTAGGTAAGCGAGGGATTTGTGGAAGACAGACAGACAGCAAAACAAAACCGGTGATGCGGAGGCAATCGCTCAGCACCCACCCGCCACGGGTGGACCGGTGCCCACCCAGGTCCCCGGCAGAAGACGGCCAACCTCCCCCCACTGCCCCTCTTTCCACTTTTATCGCCGACACGGAGGAGCTCTCTGGGCATCCCACCCAGCTGGGTCCCCTCCAGCCTACTGCCCACCGCCGTCTATTCTGCGGCACCGTTCGGTCACAAATCCAGAACGCAGCCCCGCGCCAGCTGCCGTGAAGGAAATCGCCTCTACCCCAGCCAGGCCCAGAACACTATTTTAGCCAGACATAACACAATCTTGCTGTCCATGATGCCTCAACGACCGGCCCGATACAGCTATTTCATTGCAGTACTGTAGCATGAAAAATAACTTTTTCAGGATCAGATGTATGACCCCGTGTTCAGTGAGAGCCCGGACTTTGACCAGATAAAACACCTCCATGTGCTGAAGCGCGATGCCTGATCTACACACTCACCTACACACAGCTTGTCACATTTCAACATGATTCGTTCAAATAATCTTTTTCTCCCCCCTTAAGGCTGCAGACTGAATTTGCTGTTAGTTTAATCAGTCTCCAACAATAAAAGACAAAATCCTGTGGCCTATGGGCACTGGCTGATCAGTTTCAATCTACACTGCTCTCCTACAACAACATGGAAATAGATGGGGCTAAGAACTGTTCACTGAGTTCACCCGGTCAGCTCTTCAAACAGGAACAGGAATTTTATTTAACAGGGAAAATAGGACACATAAACGTTCACACGGCAGATCAAGGTTCCCCTACATCCTCAAAGCATCCGTACCAGCATCTGTACCCACTGAAAACACTAAAGTCTTCCAGGCCACAAGACCTTTTCTGGCTCTAGTTTTGCAAAGACTGAGCGAATGAAAGAGTTTGACTCAAGTTTCTTCCAGCTTTTGCGCTCTCTAGGAGGAAGAACTGACAGACTGTCAAATCTATGGGCTTCTTCCAGCCAAAAATCAATGACTGCTATTAAACAGGGGAACGGCGGAGTGAGGAAGGTTCATTTCTGAACCTGCAGAATTCTGCTGCAATGGCAGAGGCTGGTTCTTGCTACCAGAGAAGATTCATGTGTATTCAAGTACCTACAATTCCCCTCAATGCTGAATCTCGGCTCACAAATAAAGATCAGTAAAAGTACATAACGTACAAATCAATGTTGGAGGACACTGTCTCATTGCCAGGAGAAATGAAAGGCTTAGCTGACTTATTCTGCATACAGCAGAAATAGAACTGATGCAGGGATTCACTTGAAGAGTTAAGTGTCAAAGTGTGGACACCAATTATAATGATTTAAACCCTGACAGAGTAAAAAAACCAAAAGAATCAACAATTAACTTTTAACAAGGACAAGTAAAGAAACAGTTTTCTAAGCAGGGTATTAACAGGAAACACACGCAGAACAGGTGAGTCTGGAAATCCTTACAAGAGCTGCTATTGCCTAAGTTCAGCTCCTCCAAAGCCAGGAGGCGGCTTACAGAGTACAAGACAAGGATGAAACCAGCCAGGCTTTATACCCAAGTGCATATACTTTTCTGAGAAGCTTTGGATGTTCTTTGCAGGACAAGGTAAATCTGTTATGTTTTGCTAAAAGAATCACATCAAACAAACCTTGAAAATGAACTGCTGTAGTGTAAACTTCATGCTGACATGATGACAACACATGAGAGCCTTGGGTTATGAGCTGTTACTCTTAAGAGCTTTGGACACAGTAACTTGAAGATACAAAACCTGAGACTTCTGCTTAATGCAGACATGCTTCCAATCAATTACTACTTTTACGCTGACGCTACCATGAGTTAATCATTCCTGTAGCAATATCTTAGTGTAGCTGTCACATTATTTCTGCAATAAAATGAGTATGTTTGATGTGCATTTAGCAACACTCTCACCACTTATAGTACATGTGCAGCATTGGAATGAATAGCAGGAAGGGTGTTTTTATGCAAGAGGCTAAAAGTACAATCAGCAGCAAAAATTAGGATGTCTGACTGTATAAAAAGGTTAGAACAAAATCCTATTACTATGACATCTCCCATGGTTATGTCTCCTTCCTATAAGAAACTGATTCTCACTGGCATTAGCAAGAATAAAGAATACACTCCGTATTACACGCACACTTAGGGACAATTTCAGAACTCCAGCCAGAGGCTGGCTGCAGGCTACATCATCCTTCCTCTCCTTGTGTGGGTGTGAGCTTACAAAAACCACACACTACAACGAGAATAGGAAGCAACCCACGGGTGTGAGCAAAAAAACCCTCTTCTGCAGCTTTTTTCTTACTTCTCCATACAGAAGCAGAAATCAAACGCTGTTGAGTACCCATTTTATTGAGCTCTATCTGCTGCAGTTTAGTCCAAAGGACTTGTGTCTGTTTTCCGGTGGTGTGTAATTGCAGTTAAAGCTGACTTCAGTGAATCTAAAGAGCTCACATGAAATAGTTCCTCATTTTAGCTTAATACCTGCAACAGAGTAATTTCACACATGAAGCCATCCGCTACTCTATTACCAAATTTATCTTATTCTTAAGGATGTGAATGACTTTCTTTGCCTGATCTACCATCAGATATTAATTAGCATCACACAAGAAATGCAACAGCTTAGCACTTACACTGAAGCCATTCCCGTGTCAAAAGGATCAGTAAACTACTTCTCATGCCACAAGCCCAATCCTAAAGCAGATCAAGCAGTATTTCGTGCAAATATGATGAAAGTAGAATGTACCTTGATGAGGAAGCTGCATGAAAACTGCAGATTTAGAGCAAGGCAGAGAAGCTTCACAGACACAGAATGAAAGAAAAAATGTAAGTGAATAATGTCCATGACAAGGGGAAGGGGGGGGGGGGGAGGGAGAAGAGATGACGACAGACAAAACATTTATAAACAATTATCTCTGCTAGTTGTTTCCAGATGCAAGGAAAGAATGTTTCATGTATCTGCAACTTAAATCTATTTGTAACCATAATAAAAAACTCACTTGGCTGAAACTGTTTCTTTGTGTGATGAAGCAACTCAGCACTGCTAAATACTTGATATTTTCCTTTAGTAGTTCTCAAATCAGAGTAAGTGGATAATAGATCTGTATCCCTTATTAGTCCCATAGTTGCCTTGCTGTTTCAAGAAATCCTGTGGCCCACCTTTACTTCACATTCTATAATTTTTTCCTTGGCGGATCTTAGGTCTTCCACCACTTTCTCCCTGACTTGTCTCTACAGTGTAAATGCGTACAGCAATGACAACGCCATCACACACCTCTAGGCACACTTAATGAGTATGCAAAATTCATGTATGCAGCTATGGAGCTGTATAAAGTGCCAGAAGACCAATTAAATTTTTAATACAATTAAACAGCTTAAAAAGCAAAGCATGTTTTATGCAAAGTTGTACTGGTTAACGTACCAGTTCAAACTAGTGAAATTCCATGTTGATTAAAGTGGAGCAATGTAATAAACGAGGGACCAAGGAGCAAAATGAAAAGCTCCATGTTGTGACCTGCTCCACAGTTTGAGAAAACTGGAGATTCCCTGATCAAACCCCAAGTCTTTGTATTCAAATTGCCAGAATGAAGCGAGAATGCTCAAGGAAATAGGCAAGACACTAATAAATAGTTAGAGATGATGGGAAAACACCACTTAGATTAAACATTAAGCACAAGGCTTTCATAAAGTAGTAATCACTTAAGGCTACTTCACACTACCTGGAAACACCTACAAAGGCTGATTATTTATAAAGATGCTTCCAGCCTGGTTACACAAAAATGGAACCATTAGTAATCTCCTGGCCTTCATATTGGTCTTTTAAAACTTAATTTCCAAGCAAAACATGCACAGGCTGTCATAAATGCATTATTACAGACTCACTAGTATCCTGAACAAGTTCACTAGTTCCTAACTCCATTTGTGGACATGAGCTCTTAACCAGCATTTGATAAAAGCCGTCTGTTTGCAGAACACTCGAACAAAATTTCTGATGAGCTGGATTAATTCCTTCCTCTTAGCTAACAAAGGAAGAAGGAATAGAAAGTGAGGTGGAAGGAGGGCAGACATTTATATAGCAAAATGCTTTTTTTGCTAGTAGAGGGCCTAATCCTGCATCATCACTTCATCCTTGCAAAAAGAACTGTTGGAGTTGCTACCAATTCTACATTCTAAACGGAAAGATGCTGCCCATAATGTACTTATTTTCACACTGACAGCAATGGCTATTGTTTTGCCCTTTGATTTTATCCTTCTCCCTGTTCT